TCCCACTGGATCAGGTGCTGGTAGGCTGGGCCAACTACCTTGGGCCCAACAATTTCAGAATCATACCCCCAGATTGCTAACAACATACATGTTCATTTTCAATTCTTTCTTATTTTTATTTCCTTTATTTAATTAGTTTGTTTAATTATTTTTTCCACAAAAATTAATTAATTTTTTTTATTATTAAATCAAAAAATCACAAAACACCAAAAATCATTTTTTCATAAAATATTTATTTTCTTTAATTAATTAATTTAATTAGAAATTAGGTTAATTCAATTCTTTTTTTGCAAATAAAACCAATTAGAAATTAGGGTTTAATTTGTATATAATTTAATTGTTTTCTCAAATAAAAATGCACTAAAAAATATGTTTCTCTCAATTAGGGTTTTTAGGTTATTTTTAACCGTCCTCGCATTTAATTCGCCGCACGCATTTTAATTATTTTTTCATCATTTATGTAACTGCCAATGGTTTGTAATAGCTTTAAAAATTAGGATTTTTATTTACTGTTTAATCCCCGGTTTTTGGTTATGTAATTAATCCCCCTCCCCGAAGCCTTGTAATAGCTAGGTTTATTTTCTCGCACTTTAAATTCCTGTAAATCTTTAACTGTCTAGATGCATGGCTAATAGGATTGTATGGAAAGATTGTTTGAAAATTAAAACGGTAGATCACCTAATGTGCAAAGACTAAGTTAATTGAAAAATTCACATGCACATATTCACTCCTAGGGTTTGCCTCACTTCGATTGCCTTCGGTAAAACAGTCATTAAGCATAGGAGATTTTAGTGGTTGCCCTCCAGTCTAAAAGATCAAAATGACCCATTCGAATGTTGCCTCAGAAATGTTGCCTCGGAAAGATCTTAGGATCTTAGGGTAATTACTAAAGTTTCCTACCCATTGCTTTGGTAATTGTACTTGTCCCTTTCGAACGTCCCTTACAAACTCCAATGACGGGGCTACCTACTCCTTAATAGTAGGATAGCATTGTCTAAAGGAAATGAGAACGAACAACCTTTTTTTGAGTAGGTAGAATCTTAAGTACTTGCTCAACAAAACTCTTCACACAAACACTTTTCAAAACAATTTTCAAAACAACTTCGTCACATCCTTGAGGACTGATACAAGGGTTATCACGAAGCAAACCTTTTTTCAAAACAAGCATACACACAAGCAATTTCAAAATGAGAAGGTACCTAAGAGCCCATGGAAAATCATGGATAGAAAGGGTGCTAACACCTTCCCTTTCTATAATCTACCCTCCGTACTAAGAAATATTCTCAAAAAAGGTTTTTTCTGTTCTTTTTCCTTTTCCTGATTGGATAAAATAAAAGTCGGTGATGACTCTTGCTTACCGCGACATTTTGCAAACAAAAAACGCAAAACGCAAACCAGTATAACAGTCGGTTCTGTCACCGTATCACATCGTGCTATATTTATACCTAATACTCACCTGGGTATGAGACCCCTCTCACTTCCCTGATAATCACAAACAGTGACAAGAACAAAATTCAAACGATTTACTTAGAAGACACACTTCAAAGACACACAACCATTCGATGCTTAAAATCTTATGAATGATTGACACCAATTACAACTCAAAATAACAGACCTACTCTTCTATCAAAGTGATAATAGAGAGGCTCACAATAACCAAAACAGTCCTAATACATTCACTACGACTCAGTGTTCAATCAACACACAAGAACCCTTAAAATCACGTTTTACAGGGCTACACAATGCACTATCTTTTCCACGCTTGTATTAGGGTTGAATTCTTCTTATTATAACCTTGAAAGGACTGGATCTGGCCTTAAAAAACGCATCTGATTTGTTGCAGAAAATCAGCAGAAACTTCTCCATGAAAATAGGACTTCAATGATTTGTTTCCTAAAATGTCTCAACATTTAATGAAACGAAGTAATCTTCTAAATTCAGAAGAGATCTTTGATTCTTCAGTCTTGGATGCCATGTAAGATTACTTAATATTCCCAAAATATTCAGTAATTTAAAGCAATTGTATCCAAACTGTAAAACAATTGTAATAGACTAGATGTCCTACTCTTCTGGTTAGAACATCGCATTCGACATGTTGAAACATCAAGTTGAAACATCTTGTTCAGCATATTTTCACCAAGTTAGTTTTACCAAAATTTATGCCAATTACAATAACATATAAATAACAAACACCTTGAGCATTTACAAGAATTTAGAACAATTTCATCCTTTTCACCTTTTCCATACTATATGCAAAATGCAACCACATATGTAAAAAAACTACGTGGGCTCCTATCGTACCAAGAACCTTTTTCCTCTCCTCCTGACTAACTGCACTCACGATGGCATAAGTGTCAATTCACCTTTTTCTCATCTTGGTAAGGGGCACATCGCCAGAGTCGAACCTTTCCTCATAGACAAGCCCTTGAAACCAAGATCACATTCCCTCGTCTAGAGAAAGAGATCCTGACTTGGTACTGTAGAAATGTGCATCTCGTTTAAAATGGAATTTAGACCAGTACTTCAGATGCAAAATCTGGAAAAAGCAAAAAAAATAGCAAGTAGATAGCAGAAAATGATATGGGTTGCAGGTGTGAGGGGTTTACTAGCAAAAAGTGCCCTAGGAAATCGGCGTAGTCCAGACCAAAAGGGTCAACCCAAGGATTAACTTGATATAATAAAATGAGACCCTGATTATGAAAGTTATCCAGAGAAGTATACTTTGGGTGGAACAAATCAAAGAATAATCTAAGGTTTCCAAGATTTTGCCTTGGCACACAACTGAAATACCATCATATATGCACAAGACCCCGAAAGAAGTTGGGAAGGAGAAAATTTTAAATATTTTAGGACGACCACCTCAAAGTCACAAAAAGGCAGACACAATCCTATTCTTGTGAACATGCGCTCATAGAGAATAATCATGAAGTTGCCAAAGGAGTTGCATATCCTCTTTTCCGGCCCCACTGGAAGAGCAGACTATTCCGAGGGATCGCCGACCATAATTCAAGTCGCATCTATAGAAACCTTAATGCTCAAAATAAATGAAGTGATTGTTACTTTTGCATCCACCTAGTCATGCTCTGCTACAATCAGCTAACCTCGAAGATTCAAGTGGGCCTGCACATCAGCATCACTAAGCTCATAATTGTCAACATTCAGGCGAAGCTGAATGTAATCCTTAATGTGTTCTCTCCTTCGAAAATTGGATCGTATATCCTCCACATATAAGATGCAAGGGGCTTAAGGACCTTTGCACGATTAGCCTCTTCGCTAACATCTGGTAAAAATGCTTTTAACGAGCCGGATGAAGAAGTTCCTTCCTCCAAAGAACTCCTAGATACCATGTATGAATCAGTCATCAGATAGAGATGTGATTTCTGGGTCCAAAGGATTATGACCAGGAGGAAGAAGATGAGAATTAGGGGACACCCTCATTCTCGGGGCAAACGAATTTGTGCCCTCAAAATCGCTCATTAGATTAATTGTATTATAACTCATCCTAAACAGAAAACTATAAATGCTGAAGATAAAAGATTGAGTTTAAGATGGTAGCTGGTTATCTGAGATTGGTGAAACATGAGGAAAAGAAGAAAGGCAAATATTTTGAGCAAAACATTGAAGATCGCTCCTAGCAATACTCTTAAAGAAGAGGGAATGAAGATATTTTCTGGAAAAGTAACAGTAAATTTGAATACTCAACGTTGTGAAAACTTCTAAGTATTCAATTCACCCTATTTATAAGCAGCAGCAACTGAAGGATTCAGACCAACTAGAAAAAGAAGTCACAAGATCAATGACTAGATTTTTCCTCGTGGATACACGTCAAGTCGATTGTACTCAAGTGAATTGTAACTATGTCATGCCCTAGCTAGTCACGTCACCACACTTGTCAGATAAGATCTACGAAACATTTCAATGATGGGACCATATTTAACGTGCTTGTTCTACACTACTTTTTCAACTAATTCTAGGCATTTTAGTTCCATTTTGCATCCGACAACATCCAAGAGGTCGTCCAACATCAATTAAGGCTTCCCTCGGCTCCTTTAGTGCTCAACAAAGCCTTTGGGGTAACTGTTCTAGACCGGTCAAAAACTCAAATGGCTAAGGCCTAATCCATCTCAAATCCACTCCACTTGATTCAAGATATAAATTCAGTTCACATGCATTGAAAATATACATTCTCTGATCTCCACTTTCATTATACTCATCTTGAATCTTAAACTGACTTAGACGTTAGAGTGATAATTGTGTAGGTTTATCCTATACTGTTGTAAAGGAGATCAAAACTACTATTCAAGATCATCAGCTATTTAATTATATCTATTTTTTATTCCCGGTCCGAACATTTCTAATTGTGCTTGATTTAAGGAACATTTGAGATAACTTTTTATTTTCTTACTTACGTGCTAGCTTGTATGCTTACATGTTTGGTTTATAAATAATAACGTATCCCCTGTTTATAGGCTCCAAGTAGAGTTACTTACAACTTCAAAAGATGGTTTTACACATTTCTTTACATGCATTTAATACTAAGCCTTTATATCTACTTCTACAACTCTCCAAAAAAAAAGGCTACACCACTAAAACCAAAATGGGCCTAGCACTTTATTAATCCAATAAGCCAAATTAAATTTATAATCCAACAACTTTCATTAATTGCATATGTGCAAACCAAAATTGGTATAAATATCAATTACTACAAGAATGTACTAGTACATGATACATCCTTTAGAATAGATCAACAACTTCAAAGTCATAGGTGAGAATGATAGTTTGGACTTTGATAGCCTTTAATTCTAGAGAATTTTGATACACCATAAATAGAAGAATCTTACAAGATGAGAATACATCCTTGTTGCTTCTTGAATTGGGCCTTCCTTGATTTCAATATAGTTTATTTTTATTTATAAAAAAAATCATTAACCCGACCAAAAGGCAATGCCATATAAACTTGAAGCCTCTCAAAACGAATATTCATTGCTTAAATAATCATTCTTAATATATTCACTCTTTCTCTTTTTTCCAAAAGCCACAACAACACCATAGCTGTTCTCCTCATTCTAATACTACCACAAAAAATCCAAGGTAAGGTTGATCCAAATGATTTTCTTGTTTTTTGTTCTAATTTCAGTGCTGATATTTATTTTATAGATCTTTTCGTTAATTCTATTGATAAGGGTTATAGTATTGTGGATAAAATGGATCAACATGAGCAACAGAACCGTCGTTGCAACAACAAGGTGAAGAGAAAGAACAAGTTAATGAAAAGATGTTGTTCATATCCCTGTCGTGCAATATCTTACATGTTTAGAGGTTTTGGTAGATGCGTATTTGTCACATGTTACCCTGTTGTTCAGTGTTTTGGTTTAGATGAACACAAACATAGCCACCATAGAAAACACTTTGATTGGTGATAAACACATGTTTGAATAAAATGGTTCTCAGTTTTGTTTCATTATTCTCCTTCCTGTTTTTTCTGTATATAGCTTTTAATCATATTCTTTACGTGATTGTGTGAACAATTCGGAATTTTCGCAACATGTTCAAAGCCAAAAATTATTCCACCAACATGAACTTGATCAATTTTTTCAAAAAGACAAAATAAATTGGTATACATAAACTAAACTAGAGTTCAGCATCTTCAAAACAATGATATGCATTAATTCCTAAAATTAGCAACATTCTGGTTAAGGCCTAAGGGTAAAAAGAATTTGGCACCGGAAACCAAATACTCTTCGAACATAAATTTTCACCTTCCTAGATTCATTAACTGACATGTCAGTTCTCTTACATCAGACTCTTTTAGTGGCTTTAACATGAACATTTCAGCTCCTTCTTCCAGACACCTGTTCTTTCAGCAGAACAATGATTGAGTAGGTTAAGCAATAGATAACATACAAGAGATAAAAAAATGATATTACAAGATGATGTGGTTAGGGATAGAGACAAATTACTTGTTGATTCTTGTTGGTATGTTCTCAGATGACATGATTACTACCGGGACCTCTCTCATTACAGATGATTCCTGTTTAACAAAATGAAATATGTAGTGGTTAATGCATCAATGTACACAATAATCAACAAGATTTTGAAGAAAAAACTATACAAAATATATCATTAATACCTTGATTTTCTTAAGTAACTCATAGCCTGTCATCCCTGGCATGCAATAGTCTGTGATGATTAAGTTTACTTTAGATCTCTACAAAACCACAAATACTAGTTAGCAAGTGAGAAACATCACATAACATGTTTATATGTTAACCACAGTTTATGTTTGACAAATCAGATAGAAATTTTATTTTATCAAATATATATACTTACTCCATTCAAGGTGCTGTGTTCACCATTTGTCAAGCCCAACAACTCCAATGCCCTTAGTCCATTTTCAGCAGTTGTAACTATAGTCCATTTTCAAACAAAAAGCCCATTCAAAATGAATCACCAAAAAAAAAGCATCACACATAAAGGACATGATTTTTCCTTCTTTACACACAACAAGAGATACGTGTAGTGTAAAACTAGTCATGAAGTTGTTAAAAGTAAAAGAGAATAAAACAGAAAATGGTTGAGTAAGAGGTAGGTAAAGTATAGTGTAGTCTAGTGTACCTCTGCAAGAGGAATTTCTAAGGAGTTTCTCAACAAGTTTGCGATCAATAAGACTATCATCAACAGCAAGAACATGAGGAATCTCACCGCTTTCCATGATCCAATTTGTAGAAGAAGATGAAGATGAAGCAGAAGCCATGAATGATCTTAATAAAGACAAGAATAAACCACTCTCTCTCTCTCTATCTCTAATAATGGCAATGAAGAAGAAAGAAGAAGGGTAGTGCAATAAATAAAGGAAGTTACTACAATCTTAAATGTAGAATAGAAAAGGACGAAAAGAAAAACAAAACGAAAAAAACATAAAAGAAACAAGAAAGTTTGAAAGTCACAAGATATGTATGAAGGATGTCCTGTCCTAGTATATGTAAGGAAATGGAGCAGGAGAATTTTAAGAGAGAGAGTCACAGATATTTCGTGATCCTTTTGGGGTATCTAAGGATTTGATTCAGTCCCCCACCTTACCCTTTATATTCAATTACCAAATCTTATACTCTCTCGTCATCAATATTCATATCTCTGACTCATTTCATTTACTATTTCTTTTTTCTCTCTCTCTCTGCACTAGCTTCCATGCATGTTGTTATGGCATGGGAATTGGGATGAGTAAGATGGAGTATTAGAGTAGATAGATAGATTGTTTTGGTTTCAATCCTGATCAAAACAACTCAATTACTTTGGTTGAATAACACGGTTACTCCTGTTAAATTCTTCTCTTGAAAAGTGAAAACCAATATTAAGTTAAAGATCTTTTTTGGTAACATAAAATTTGCTTACCGATTAAATACTACTAACGGCAGAACCTAAAATGATCTTTTTATTTTTTAAAGTTAATGAACTTTTTAGTCCCTAGAAATATCTTAGACTTTATTTTTAACCTTTCTAAAAAATTTTTAAGAGGATCATCCTCTTAAAAATTTAAAATTTAACTTTTGATTTCCAATGCAATTTAACGACGATTTTTATAATTTAACGATGATTTTAACGACAATTTTTAAGGACGGTTTTTAATTTAGTAATGTAATTAGAGACATCAGGAATTAAAAGTTAAATTTTAAATTTTTAGGAAAACTATTTTTTGAAGAAAAATTTTAGAAAGACTAAAAATAAAATTTGAGATATTTATATAGACTAAAAAATTCATTAACCCTTTTTTAAATTAAGAATTGTTTAATATTTTTCTAATTAAAATTATATTATACTAAATTACTTTTCTTATAAAATAATATTTATAAATAATTGTGATATACTGATTATATAAATTTCTTTTTACATTAATAGTGCATAATAATTAATCACTTTTAGTAAATAAAATATAAATATTATAAAATAGTCTCTTCTATCATTAGTATAAATAAAAATAAATTTATTGAATAACTAGTGTATTTAATTTATATATATATATATATATATATATATATATATATATATATATATATATATATATATATATATATATATATATATATATATATATATATATATATATATATATATATATTATTCGATATATTTAAAAAAGAATTATTCATATAAAATTAAATTTGGTATTTTAGTTTAAAAAAATCTCAAAATAAGGATATTTTTAATTTACAATGCAATGCAAAGTATTTTTTAATTATACCATATAATTAATATTACTTTCATTGCTCTAAATTCAATATATTTTAGTTTACATTTGTTTCGTACAAACTAACGGATCCAATACGAATGGTCAATTAAGTTATAGGTGCTCGTTCAATTGACGAATATGTGACGTTCATACTAAAGTACCATATTGGAGCATAACATTGTTTTTATCTTAAATATTCATTCAACGTCGTCCCGCGTCTTGCATCACATCCACTGATGACATTCTAAATGACATCCTTATATATGTATGGTTGTGAGTCACACTAAGTTACAATTCATTTCACTCACGTACAAGTTTCATTTCTTATTTTGTTGACTTGAGCGTCAGAGTGCTAACTTTGTAGATATCTCTCATCTTCGTTCACTAGAGACATCTACTACTGTGCGGGAAACTATTCTATAATGGTCATCATCAATATTGTACTCATTTTTTATTCCTCACTAGAATAATGGCACGCTTTGTGGGAATCACCTTCTGATTCTCACGAATTACTATCACATTCTCTTAATCTCTTATGTTGCATCGGCCAACCATTTTATGTTAACTATTTCAAACATTGTAATCGCCTCGGCTACCAAACTTTGGCCACTATTTACCTTACTGAAAATGTTTCCCATATTCATCTACATTGGTAGGATCCAAAGTAAATCAATCTACCACTTGTCATAACATAATCCCCGTACCTAAAGTATGATATGCGATCCAAATGCTTCAAGATATATTCATGTTGATTCTTACTCTTACGACAGAATAACCACCTCGATGGCAAGACATTATAATCTTGATCACTTCACTCATAATTCCACGTCAGAATTCTTAATTGATTGGAGGTTCTCCCCCCAACCTTGGCCAATCTAACAAAACATTTAGTTTCATCTCTCGCAACAACCTCACCCACCATCATCACTCTATTCTTTTGAGTCATGTTTTTCACGGAGTCTACAACAACTATAAGCAACATTGGGAATATACGGTGTGAATGAAATTGTGATAAGCATCTACAACTTAGTGCAACAACAAAATTAAAATCTTCTAAATGAAAGACTCATTCGCATAAAAGATAATAAAAAAAATTCCTACTTGAATCGCAATTCTAGTAGAGGTGTTGCAACAGGGTCACTTCGGAGCCTCCTTAAGAGCCATTCCCATCAACACCGTGTCACATCCAAAAAGAATGTCAAAGTTTCCAAATAGATGCCATCATTGCTATCGCCCATAATTCTTATCCTCGTGACTCAGGAGGCAACAATAACATCTACACCCCACTTAAGGACCGCCATCCGAGGAAAATTTACTCACATCACTCTTATAGGGAGAAACAAGCACAAAACCACTCATCATGTATCATCTCACCATACAAAGAATTCATTCACCAAGCACATTATTGATTACAACATCTAAAAATCCCTGGAAAAGCCAATGAAATAGGACAATTACAAAGGAATTAAGGACACCAATGAACATGTTGACCATGTAAAATATATGCTTGATTATCACCATGCCATGAGTGGGGTGAAGTGCAAAATGTTTGTTTTGCCTCTCAAGGGAGAAATTATAACATCCTTCAAAACTTTGGAGGATGGTTCCATTTACTCGTGGAAGAAGTTGTGAGATAAGTTAACATCATAATTTAATGTAGACGCCAACCTATGATAGTGGCGGTTCTTAGTGGAATCTACTAGAAGAAGAAGTAAGCATTTAAAGATTACATCGATAAATTCACGAAGATGGTTGTTAAAGTAGGGAGAGGAAACGATGATCTAAATGTTTGATCTTTAGTATATGAATGAAGTCAAGTTATATGTTCCGAGAGAAATTGAGTTTGAAGGGTGTGGAAAACATGAGTGACCCCCTAACTCGAGAAAAACCATATAACAACTATGAGGATGAGTTGTAAGCTAAAGATGATGAAAGAAATAAGACCTTCCAAAATGGTGCGTCTAAGAAGTAATGTGATAACAGATGTTGCAAGGACAAAGACAAAGACATGCACAAAGGCTTACATACTAGATTTTATAAATACACTCCTGTTGTACCCCAAAATTTGCCCTCTCATTTTATCAACATTTCTCATCACAAGGCTCTTGGAACTCAAGATCAAGCTAGGGTTTGCTCTGCTCAAGACATCTCCTTGCACTGATGACCTAAATTAGGGTTTGAGTTTGCACAAGGATATTTTGACCTACAATGTCCAAAGTGACTTTCATACTTCATGTTGGACTCATAAGTTTGCCCATACCAAGTTTCAAGTCTTGAATCAAATTTTTGCCCAGTCAATTGGACAGTTGACATAGAAATCAGCTGTATTGGAGAAAAAGTCAAATGTGGCCAATTTGCAGTCAAACCTCATGAATTTTGACCCACATCAACATTATGAACTCATATGAACCATTTGATCAAGTTTGGACCATAATTCCACAAGAAATTTGATCAGATCACCAAAAGGGCAAAATGGTCATTTTTAGGGTTTTGACTGTACAAAAGCAATTTTTGACTGTTTGACCTAGCCAATGGCAAATCAAGCTCAACCGTGGACTCAAGGACTAAATGAAATCATCTTGACCTATTCAACAAGTTCAAAAGATCTCAAATGCATTGGATTGACAGATGATTTTTCAGTCAACTGATCAAAATTTGACTGTACACTGAAAAGTCAAACTTTGACTTTTTGGTCAAAATCAAGTGCCAAGGGTCATTTTTAATCAAGATGTGTAAAATTATGAAACTTGTTAACCAAGAAACCCAAAATTGCAAATTAAGTTATGAAATTTTCTTAATTTTTCCTAACTTTGTCCCACATTTTCACCAAGATGAAAATGGGTTCAAACAAAACTTACAACATGAAGGTTGTATTCCTCCACAAAGTCTACAACTTTGATTCACAAAGTTTTCTCAAAAGAAGCTTGGATCTCAAGTTATGATTTTTGGAACAAGGGTCCCTAAAACTTTTAACTTAGAGAAATTTTGCCCTAGTTTAGGCAGGATTTTGACCCATCTTCTTGGCCATTTTTCACATAGTTCCACTTGGAGTCTCAAGTTTAATTTCAAAGATGGATTATAGAGCATGTTGCAAGCTTTCCAAATTGTCCAATAACTCCTCAAACACATTTGTGGTTAGGGAGAATCAAATGCTTGAAGTTGGCAAAAACTCACTTTGTATCCATGGCCAATACATGTTCATACAAGTTGCATTTTCAAGTCAGCATGCTTTGTACTTGTTTGCAGGCCTCTAAACCAATTCACACTCCTTAATTGAATGCAAATCCACTGAGCTAATGCATTATCTTGGCCATTTGGACATTGCACACAAAACTAATCCCTAATTGGAAAAAGGTACATTTCCATTTTGGAAAAGGTATGCTTTATGTCAAAACATGATCTTTGAAGCATATGGCCATATCTATGAAGCCAAATAAAATCCACAAATTCCAGCAACCAAGAGGATTGTGTGCAGCATACTTAAGGGCTTGTACAGGCATGTATTCACAAGTTACACATCTTTACTT